GCGGCTTCATGATCATATTTTGCCTTCCAAAAGTCAGACTTAGCCCGTGGAAGAGTAACATACTTGATCTCACATAATATTTGGACGAAGCGATAAAGTAAGTGAAATCAAGAGACTTACATCTGGCGGCGGGTTAAGCTTGCAGAAAGGGTTCAGACCCACTTTCTTGCAGTCTTTGAATTTACTATTTACAAGGGTTGTTGCCATTTCAACAATGTCATCTTCAGTCAGACGCAGAGAGCTATGGCGTAATGGATCATCTGTTCCTCCGGTATAAGTACAGATCAAGCCAGACCGGCGGCTTAAGGGTATGATCCGCCATGCGACCCAACATCGGATCAAATCAACTCCGGTTAGCAGGGCTTGGACTTTTCTGATAGTAGGGGCGAGTTTCTTATGTTCAGTGGCGGTAAGTTTCTCAGGGAGTTGATAATTTCGGTTAAGACGTTCAGCACGATAACCCAGCAATGGATTCACATCAGACGACGAGATAGGACCATGTTTGATTCCAGTCCTTGGGTGACTCGGTAGAGCTGCTTGAGGAAAGATGGCGTCTCTTCCGCGTTGAATTGAAATTCCATCAAGTTCCAAGCTGGGCCCGTTTGTGAACTCATTTTGCCGGTTCGGATAGAAGTATTCTCTGAAAAGCTCGACACTAGGCTCTTCTTGAAGGTATACTTCACATAAAACTTGAAAGTTACAGATGTTTGACACGGAGTTGGGTCCAATGTTTGAAGAAGTGCAGAACATCTCGAAAGTACTTAGAGCCGGGCGGTGAGAAGCCCCGGTTCATACGATCAGTGAAAACAATGACTTTACCGTCTTTTGGCAGAGGTCTCTTTTCGCCCGGGTCAGGAGCGCGGTAATGCATGACACTCTTCTCTGGTAGATATCCAACCTTGACAAAATCTTTCAAGGTACCTTCAGTAATGATGGAAGGAACCCAGTTACATGTGGTAACTGTCTTTGGTGGCATTGTGAAAGAAGGACAACCTAAATAAGGGAATAATTTGCCGGTTCAAGTCAGCTGGTGAAATCACAAGTTAACAGTTGCAGTGTACATTCAGAATGGCGGCTTAAGCGAGGGCTAATGATATATAAAGTAATGATAAGCCGGTAAAGTAAGCCGCCATGACTAAGATATTCAAGATCTAACAAGAGCAAAATTTGCTAAGTGTTGGGACAAACAGGTTCCGCAGGCTAAAGTTATAAATTTGGATCTATAGCTGTTCAAAAAAGGAGATAAAATCTAAACCTGCAGAGGCGGCAGCGAAAAAGTGGAGGTGCTCCAGAGGAGATCTGTCATGATGAGGATACGTTTTAATATCAAAAGCGGGTGCTAGAACTTCTGTCGCATAGGACCTACATTATTTTCAGATCAAAACTACACGATCTAGCAAGGAGAAGGAGGAGCAACGATGAACACCGACGAACACCGAAACCCTAAAGAACAGATCCATGAAAAGGAAAAGGGAAGACTTACTGATGCTAGCTGATAGTGGAGGAGCGCCGCGGCGTTTCTGGACCGTTCAGGGTGATGCAGCGGCCGGAGTTGACGAAGAGGACGAAGGTCGACGATGGCGGAGCTCGTGCAGGGTGGTGCGTCGCGAGGAAGAAGAAGACAGGAAGGAGAGGAGAATGAGAAAAGGGGTGGTTTAACCCTATTTATAAGGAAAAGAGTAACCGGCAGGCGTGAAAAACGAGGAGGCCAAATGATGATTATCCAACTAATTGAACGCCTCGATTTTCGGAAGGTCATTAAAGAGAAAAGATCTGTTAAAGATGATGTTGTGGCGGGTTTTCTGAAATTTCTGGAGATGACATCATGGCGGGTTACAATGTTTCACAGCAGAGGAAGAAGGATTTTTCTAAGTGTTGAAAATTGACATGAACAAGTTCAAATCAACCTGGGGCCTAATGTTGGGGATATGACTATCAGGTATGACCCGCCCAGGAGGGGCTGGGTCAACCACAATGGCGGTTCATCCATGAAGCCCAAGAGTATACTAGATGGCAGTTCATAAATAGGCCGGTAAGAGGCCCAAGCCCGGAGATGGCTTAAAGCCCATAAGCGTAAACCGCCATGTATGAGTAGACTTGTAATATGAGGCATATAAGATACGTCACCGAGCCAGACACATTGTATGAGCCGGTCGGGACTCTGTAGGCCGCAGGGCGTCAACCCGTGTATATAAGTGGATGACCCGGCATCGGCTTAGGGCAAGAAACATCAAATCGAGGGCCAGCCAAAGCGTGTTTGCTCCTTGGTAATCGAAATCCTAGCAATACCACCTCAATTGGAGTAGGCCTTTACCTTCACCGCAAGGGGCCGAACCAATATAAACTCTCTGTGTCCTTTGTCCCGTTTAACCCCTTTAAGCTAACCTCGTCGCAATGGCTCCACAACTAAGTCCTTCCATTAGGACATCTGCCGTGACATTTCCACGACACCCTCTGATTCCTTATGTGAACTATTGAAACAAATGCCCAACCCATTTGTTGGACCAACATTAATTGAAGTAGATGGCATACTGATTGGTTGTGTAACTACATCAGACACGGCAATGTTCCCAGGAGCGGATGTACTTCCAAGAAAGCGCCCTGGATGTTCATGCTCAACATATTCTGTGTGAAGATTTGAATGTCTATTCAAAATATTTTGGGTTTCTTTACTTGATACACTAGAGGCCAATAAAGAAGTGCTTTGATAGCCACCAGAACGATCTACAGCAGATTGAGGATCACTCCAACTTTCAGCGGCTAACGGATTTCCAACTTGACCATCAGCTGTAACATCATTCCTAGAAATAACACACAATGGATTTCCAACTTGAACATTAGCTGTAACAACATTCCTAGAAACAACGCGACTGTTCCTAGCTGTTGTCCTGGAAGAACGAGGAGGGCATACTCCACCAGGAAAAACGAACAAAGGGATATCTTTTCTTTTTACGTGGGACACATCAATATGCTGGAATTTTGTCTATATTGGGGGCAGCCCAATAACTATTTCAGAAATTCCTAATAAATTCTAGAGGCCCACTTATCCCATTTGTGCAAAGTAAGGGATACTACTAAAGTTTACTCCCACATTGCTAGTTTAGTGGGAGTTGAACCTCCTTATAAGGGAGATTCTTTCCCCACTTATATGAGCATGAGAACAAGAGGAACATCCACGCGCGCTCCTCCTCCGCCGTCCGCCTTGCCACGCCACGCCACGCCACGCCACGCCACGCCATGCCACGACGCGACGCGGGTTGCGGGAATGAGCCGATGTCTAAATTTTTGCCACGCACTACGGGTATACGAAAGGTCATTCGGGAGCTGGAAAGTTTTTGCTGTAGTGGATATTGAATACGAACGCTGCACCCTTCGGCTGCTGCCTGTTCGTTTCATCTCCCGCGTTCCCTTCAGCTCCCAGCGCAGCCTCTCGCCTCTTTCTCTTGCGCCTATAAAAGGGAGGTCGCTCCTCTCAGAGAGACGCACCAGAACTTCTCCTTCCTCTCGCCACCGGTTCTAATCTCTGAGCTGCTATTCTCTTCCTCATCCCGGCTTGCGGCGTGCATCGCAGGTCGGGACAGTAGGCCTTCGAAACCGCACCTCTTTGAGTCTTGTACGGGAGAAGGGTGATAAGGTTTTTGGGGAGCGCTCTGTGCGACTACTGACTGACTCCTTCGTCACGGACGCCCCGGACTCCGACGACTACTTCCCCAACGACGACTTCTTCCCTGACGTCGACAACCTCCTCGACGACATGGCTGGCGAGGACACCGACCCCAAGTCCAGTGCTACTGCTGCTGCTGTCCCGTATGTGTTCTTCTTTCTGTTAGATATCCTACCACAGTTTCTCGTACTAGTACTTGCCCTAAATATGTTAGGTCTACCTCATATATGCAACTAGTTCTACTGTCTGCTATAGATATGATAGGCTACGGTTCATATATGCAGAAGCTATTTACATTCTCTCTGTCAGAACGCATGACTTGTTTTATCTCTACTATATTAGTCATACTTTATCTAGTATTTCTGTTAATAAAATCATTTGGTAAATTGCTCATATTTCAAACACAATATCCATTCCTTCTCTCCGATGTACGTAAGCAAGAACTGCGACCTTAAACTCATTTACGATTCATCTGATGTCAAATTGCTCAGGTTCTTGAGGTTGGGCAGTTTCTTTTCTCCAAAGACCCATGAAGTAAAAGCTATGCAACGACCTGGATCCATCTGAGAAATCTCGGGGATGAGGATGTGCAAGGAGCATCTCATGCGTATATCGCTCAAACTACATCAGCAGCCAAAATCACATATTAAAAGACAGCGCAGCACACATGTTACTTAAGAAAAATGGAAGCTTTTTTCAGTTACTCACCTTCAATACAAGTGTTCGAAGGCGAGACTCTACCCAACCTTTCCAATTCCTGAGGTCATCTTCATTTCTCGCTGTGATACCGACCTCTAAATAATTTCTATATAATTCAAAAAATGGATATGGCTCGAATAAATCATCCCAGGTTGCTCTATTTTCATCTATTGCCTACAGTTAATAATCGAGGGCAAATCAAGTTTGATGCAAGACATAAATAGGTTCCATACCTGTGAACTTAAAATAGAAGTGCTAAAGATAAATGCAAAAAAAAAAATGCTACAGAGTAGCCACATAATCTCAAGAATCTGTTCAAATATAGTATAAGTTGACAGCCAAAACACATGCATTGCATACATTAATTAAAGTTCGATAACTCTACAATGAAATGAATTTGCATAACTATAAATCTCTGTATAACAAATACAGATCCTACATTCATAATTACTATTTAGACAGTTGCAGATTGAGTTACAAAAATGGGGTGCTTCGGTTAGCATTACAACCCAACTAGTTACAAATTCTACATTCAGATCAATGTTTTCTGAGGATACAGTTCACACATTTAAGATCAATATATAATACTAGACAGTAGACATCAGTAACATCTCGCCATTGAATAATTATAAACAAATTATTCTGAAATAATAAATACCTGGCAGATCTCGTATCCTCGTGTGAATTCTTGGACCATCAGATACCTAGTATTAGTAGATACGTTATAACTAGAATTCATACAAGGATAGGCAGGTGTAATTATAGGCATCTGATGGCCCCTGTCTCTAAAGTTTCTTCTTGGATCCCACACAGGGAGGCCAAGAGGACCCTCCTCAATATGGCAAAGTGTAACAGGGTTGGGCCACTTCCACTGGCTGTAGACTCTGAAAAACCGAGATATCAACATGCTGGGCGATGCATTTGGGTACAATTGACATATACGAGCAACAAGAATAGCCCAATTTATGCCACCCAAAAATCCTATAACCTGGAAATGCAAGGAATATCTGAGTATCAATTCCACATGCTTATCATAATACTGATATAATGATATGCAAATGTACATAATGTGAACATGCAATCATGCACTGGACATGGCTAGCAGGGTGCTAGGGGGCTCCCCGTGCTGCAAGTTGTTTTTATTTACCCAACCATATTTTATGTGCGGCGGTATTTTAGAAACATCATTGAACAGCTTAAGAAAATGCTTTTTTGTAATATTGTTTTCTTTACTTGTATTTGTGCCCCATACTACCACAGTACTACTTTAACAGTTGACCCCAAAACAATAAAAACTAGTTTGGTAGATCCACTATAGGCAGATAAATGCAGAAAATCAGACAGCATATTGTTACATTTGGTGTCAGCTCTTGCTTGAAACCAAATGGAACATAATGTATTCTCTTGTTCTGTTGGCCTCCTCGTATAAAGTTTCCTCTTCTTTCCTAATAGAGTTATTTACCCAAAACCACTACACTTGGGGCTAGGGTAACCACTTAGTACCACATTGAAAGCAGGGCACAAAAAACCACCGGAAATGTGCCTAATGCATAACGCGGAGCACTGATAGTCAGATAACCTCGCGAAAACAGTCAAACTGACTGGTTGGGCCCACCTGTAAGGCTACATGGAATGCCTATGTGGAAATTTTGCTGAGTTGGACCTAGGTCCCACCTGTCAATGACTAAAGTGTTTATTTTTTTCACCTATTCTTTTTTATTTCTCTCTCTTTTCGTCTATGGGCATTTGACCGAACAGGTTGTGGGCGAGCACTGGACACGGACATCGCCGGCAGCGCCGCCACAGAGGACATTGCAGCGGTAATGCCTGGCCAACACCACTCCTTGCTGCTGCCGGCGAGCTCCTCCGGGAGACCAGCTCGCGTCCACGGGCCACGTCGTAGAAGTGGCCGCTCTTCCTCCGGTGGACGCGGACATGGTCGAGGCGGGATCTCGCCCGAGCTCAGCGTACGGCCCCGCTCGGCATGGACAGCAAGATGGAGGCGCCGAAATTTCTTATTTAGCCGTCAATGGCTGCGCGGCAAGGAACGAAGGAAGGAGGCAGGGACGCATAGAGCGGGAGCAGCGCTGGCAGCAGGCCGTGCGACTCCGCGCCCGCATCGTGCACTCCCCTGTCGCGCGACCCCGCCTCCTTGCTCCCACTCAGGAGCGCCACCGCCGTATTCTGCCGCCATCGCGGAGCTCCACGCCGCCAACTCCGACCGCCGCCGCTGTTCAGCAACCCGGCCGCCGTAGCCACGCACCTGCCCTCCCTTTTTTCTCTTCCGGCCGAGTAGGGCGTGCGACGCGGAGGAGCACCTCTCCACCACCGGAGCGTGGTGGCCTCCTTTTTCTCTTACGGGAGCATGGTGGCCTGCACCGCTCCTGGCCGCCGCCGGCGAGCTCGTCTGCAACTTCCCTGCCCCGCTCCTGTGTGCGTGACCTGTCGAAGAGATGAGGAAGAAGGCAGTGGGTGGATGACAGGTGGGACCTAGGTCCATCTAAGCAGAACTTCCACATAGGCATGCCACGTCAGCCTTACATGTGGGCCCAACCAGTCAGTTTGGCTGTTTTCGTGAGGTTATTCGACTATCAATGCTCCGTGTTATTAGTTAGGCACAAAAACGGTGGTTTTTTGTGCCCTGCCTTCAATGTGGTACTAAGTGGTTATCCTAACCCCAAGTGTGATGGTTTTCGGTAAATAACTCTCCCTAATAATGCACGTACGTTCATACTTTAAAGCATACTCTTGCAGCAAGAAGAACCATACGTTTGAGTACACCCCACGGCGCTTCCCCCAGTATCTCATGAACCTTAAGATTGTGCGGAAACTCTGGATTTGAGAAGAAAAATAAGGGTTTTAGTCCATAGAATAATAATAACATGTTTACATGAGAAACAGGTGACACATACCGGAATGTTTGGGACCAATCGTAAGATTTGATCCGTAACTCGACATCCATTTAAACTACTGACAGCCTGTTCATCAACATTGTGCAGTATGGAGTCCTGAGAAAGATCAAGATCCTGAAATGGAATCATCTAACATGATTAGGAATTGCTATCGAACATCACAAGAACATGTTATGAAATGATACGCAAGCCAAACAAAACTAGGGAATAAAATGCTAAACTCCATTTCCAGTCTTCCATTTTTTGAGATGCAGATGCTTCCATTCTATACTCATTTACTACAATGAGTGCAAGATAAAGATAACATACAGTAGCGATATATTATTTAAATAACAAAGTTGTAAAATAAAACTTACGTCAGGAATCACCACATGTGCGAGGTTTGCATATAAAAGGTCAATAGACACCCCACAAAGTTTGAACACCAGAACAGGCACATGAGCATCTGGTACTGGGTGTAATTCGGAAACTTCTGGCATCTCAGCTAGCATATCGTGAAGCTACTGGAAGAAGTAGTCCTACGGAAAATGAAATGACCATTGGACACCGTAGGACAGTGATACCTTAGGATTTTTTACTTTTATTAGTAACAGATCCTCTTACATTTCGAGTTGCATGTCTTGGACCCACACATAGCGTATCAATATCTGCGCCAGGACCGTGCACTTGGGCAATAAATAACAGAATAGATAGGACCACAACAGTTAATTTAGGTGACAAAGATAGAGTGATGTCAAAAAAAAGTGACAGATACAAAACCTCGAAAAGCGGCAAAACTATATATCTTTATCATTAAACATAACTAAAACCACCAGACTCTACATGGATATATGCATAGTGACTAATTCACTTGCATCGTTGATAGAAAAAACATACTACCTCCGTCCGGAATTAGTTGTCATTGAAATAGATGTATCTAGACATATTTCAGTGCTAGATGCATCCATTTGAGCGACAATCAATTCCGGACCGAGGGAATACAAAATAGGCAAAAAGCATAAAAACACTGTAACAACTAACGAGTCTTTCTTTAGAAATAAGAACTACTCAAGAAACGGCGTAACAGACTACCCCAAAGCGGTATGAACCAAATGTGAAGTTCTTAGCATTTGCTTCTTGCACAAACTGCTCGCGATAACCGCTCACTCTGGTGGCCTTCTTAATCCATGTTTTCACAGTCTGCCAGGACAAACAGCAAGTCATCTTGAAGCCGGCCTACCCAAAATATAAGCACATCGGCAAAGTAGGCTCAAACCTGGTCAAGTTTGCCTACGACCTCTTCTCGAGAGAGCCTCCTCTTGACTCTCGTACAAGCCCGCGTCAGCAAGAAACTGGTTAACACCAATATAACAATATATCAGCAAAACATATTACATAAGAGAGCAGCAAAAAAATTGCAAATTCTTGGTCCATCTGACACCCCTGCCACACAGGCTCGCACCTTTTCGACCTCAGCTGTCTGAATGACATCCTTCTCGGTCGGCCCGCTTAGGCCTTGTTCGGTTGAGGTGGTTTGTGAGGGGGATTGGCAGGGATTGAGGGGGATTAGATCCCCTACAAGCCAAATTCCTCTCCAATCCACTCCAATCCCCTTGGAAGGAGGATTAAACGAACAAGGCCTTAACGAGATTGGCTCGGAGACGCCAAGATAACCAGGATTGCTCTTCGACATCGAGGCTCCCAAATTTTTATTTTTATTTTTCGATGAAATGTCGATAGTACAAGTTGCATATAAAGCAAAGCAGGGTGCTGAGCTAAGCTGCACCGATACGGATACATAAATTCGACATTTGTGGAAAAGCGCCAATACGCCAATACAGGGATACGTTTAACTACTTTTTAATTCACAAAAAAAAATATGTATAGAATCTAGGAACAACAGATAGCTTTCTTATTGGCTCTACTGTGTATGCCGAAGCAGCTCCAAGCCCCTCCAACTGACAATGTTGATGCCCTGTTCCAACTCCAAGTTCCAAAGAGGTAGAATTAGACTTTTAGTAAGTGTAAAATGAATACGGAGCACCAAATCAAATCATTAGTTAGTTGTATATCTCTCATGGCATAACATGTAAGGTGGAACCTGAAAATCAAATAGCTAACATGCAAAAGGAGAAACAATCACTTTAAACGGGAATATTTTAGGTTTGACTGTTAAAATCAACAACACAGCGTAACAATACCACTATATTACCGATCATAAACAAGACCTGGGATGTCTATCAGGTCAACAATACCACTAGTAATAATGTGTTAACCAATTTCGGCCAGTATAACCCAAGACAAAGCTCCTGCTCTCTCAAATTGCATGTTACTGCTAAGCTTTGATTTCAGGTCAAGATGGTGCAGATAAAACAACTTCATTTTTTTTCTTTTCATATACCGTCAATCATTGCATGTTTCATGTCAAAAAAATAAAATTCATTGCATATTTCACTGCTGACATGTTTAAACCAAAACATTTGCTCATCTGAATAAAAAAAATTAAACTAGAATTTGTAAGCATTTAGCCCTACAAGCATTATCATAGACACCTATTCACATGCAAACTTGAATATGCACTTAAAGTATCATGCGACAAGTACTCATCAAGAAATAATCATCATTATATTCTCACAATATCAAATCTACAGCAAGTACCAACCCAATAAAAAAATCAGGAAAGACATTTGAACAAACAGAGGATGCAAGAGAAGGAGGGAGGGGGATGAGGAAAGAGGAAGGAAAGAGGGAGAAAGGACGACGAAGGAGTGATGGCTACCTGCCTATGGACTGGTCGCCGGCGTAGCTCTGGGTGGCGGCGTTGCTGGGCGGGAGCGGCTGCTCCAGGGAGGGCGGCGCTGCTGGTGGGAGCGGCTGCTCGATGGAGGGAGGCGCTGCTGGGCTCCTGTACCGGCGGCGGGGCGGCGGCGGCTTAGGCCAACTCCACCGCGCGACCCTATCCTGTCCGTCCCCGTCCGTTTAGGGTAAAAGGGACAAAAAAGGCGGCCCAGCACGGGAGCAAACAGACTTTTGTCCGCTTTGTGTCCGCTTTCGACCCATCCGCGGCCCAAGTTTGCGCCGCTTTTGGGGTGAAACGGACACCACGCGGACGCGCGGGTCGTCTGCGCGTGTCCTCCCTTGGCCCGCCCGTCGGTGGTACAAGACGGGTCTTTTTCTATCCGCCCCTCCCTTCCTCCGGCCGCACCCCCTCCACTCTTCCCCACTCTTCCCCACTCTTCCCCTCGCTGCCGCCGCCGCCGCTGCCATTGCAGCCGTGCAGTTCGGACGCGAGCTCGCCCAACCCCTTCCCCTCGGTGCCGCCGAGCTACCCAACCACGACCACCTGGTTTGCGCACCCGCCGGCCGGTTTTGGGGCAGATCCGGTCGGTCTTGAGCTCGGCCGGTTGTGGGAGGCCTGGCCGCGCCATGGATTGGCCGGGCACCTCGCCGGGAGGCCCTGGCAGGGCCGCAAGGCCACATGCAGGCAGTGGCTCCTCCTCTAGCTGCTCGGATCTGCATCGTCGGTGGGCCGCCGGCAGATACACGAATGGCGGCCGGCCGGGCTCGGTGCTTGCCCAAAAGCTCACCGGCGCACCGTTGCCACTCATTAAGTGCGACCACTGCCCAAGGATGGTCGTGCGCCACATCTCTACAACGCCGGAACATCCCGGATGGGTGTTCATCAAGTGCTTAAACGATGGGGTATGCGCTTTTTTAGCTTCGGTTTATGCTCTAGATTTGACTAGTTGTGCTAACTTCAAATTTTGTTGTGTAGAATGGATGCAAGTTTTGGTATTGAGAAGAAGAGTACATCGATATATCGATAGAGCAAAATTTAGTACATGTTCGTGCACTTTTAGCTAGCATAGAGGCTGTAAATGAGACAAGTACACTTGTTGCTAGATTAGAGGCTAGACACAAGACTAGATCTGAGGAAGCAACATCTACTTGTGGCTTGAAGAAGAAAGGAGGATGCCAGATCGAGCCTCCTCCACAGATCAGCAATGAGTGCATCGAGAAGGCCCTAACCCAACTCAAGGGGGCAGTTATGAAAGTTGGCTATCTTCTAAAATGTATTCTTGTTGTTCTTATTTTCTTTGGTCTTGCTTTACTAGTCAAAATGTGATGATGCATTTTCCATGTACCAAAAATGAATGATGAAATAAAGTTAAGGACTTGCAAAGAAATAATACGCGGACATGATGCGGCCGGGATGCGTCCGCGCGGTGGGCGCACGGCCACCGCATCCCAGGACACGCCCGGACACGACCCCAAATCCCTACCCAAACGGACAGAATCCGGACAAAACGGACGTCCGTTTGGGGTCGCGCGGTGAAGTTGGCCTTAGGAGGGGAGGAGGAGCCAGTAAAGGACGGGGGTCGGTGGTGGCCGGTAGACGTTAGTCGGTACGGGCTGTCAAAAAAAAGTTCGAGCTAGGCAAGCTATGAATTCGGTTCGATTTTATGGTCAGTTTGCTTGAGCTCTACAAAATGAATCATTTTTTTCCTTTTGAGGGGACAATGAATCAAACTTTTTCTTTTTGAAGTTGGACAATGAATCAAATTTGATAGGACATCTTGTGATAATTTCATTCGTCAGATTATGTTTGCAACTCCGGTTTATATGTGAATCTATGCCATATTCACATTTCGCAAAAAAAAAACTCAACTTGTTTTCTTATATATCCTATGAATGAGATTGCAAATATAAAATCGTTAAGCTTATTGTGCCTATGCCATTTCATTAAAATCAACTTGATATGTGAATATAGCATAGATAAAAAAAATCTTGGTTAGTGCTATTTGCATATCTTGTAATGTTATTGTTATGCAACCTTTACCTTTACATAATTTGCATGATTCTTCACATATCCCATGCCATGATCGCCTTGCTTTGGACATGCATTGTTTTAGATGTTGTTCAATTTCTCCTTTCATTACTTGCAACATGCTTATACTATTGCTCGTGAGGAAGCCTCTATAGTTTCCTTATACATGTTAGAAGATTGTGATTCATCATATGCATTGCATGCTCCCAATAGTTGTATGCACAATATGCTTGATATACCAAAAATCCATCTTTGCACCCGAGCTCATCTATCATATGCATTACATGCTTCCCATAGTTGTGTGCACAATATGCTTGATATACCGAAAATCCATCTCTGCACCCGAGCTCATCTGCACCCACGCTGACGAAAAAAATAAAAAAAACTAGAAAAAATCAAAAAATTCCAAAAAAATTGTGAGGTAGAAAATTTGATGCGTGAGGTTCGCTCCGATTTTCATATCATTTCGACATCTGAGGAGCCCTCAGCAAAAAAGACAAATTGAGGGTCTGTAAAAATGTTTATTGTTCATGTACTGTTTTGGTCCAATTTGTCTTTTTTGCTGAGAGCTGCTCACATGTTCAAATGATTTAAAATTTGGAGCGGGCCTCATGCAACAAATTGTCTACCGTACAAAAAAATTGGAATTTTTTGAATTTTTTATGAATTCTTTTCTAACCAGGT